CACAGTCTTCCATCTGGTCCCCTAGGGGAGTGTCCACCAGATGGGAGACCTGCATAAAAGCTGGGCAGGTAGCCCTCATTAAACAGACCACTGCTTGACCCTCAACACGGAGCTCTGTCTCGTCTTTGGGGGGATTTACTGTATGCTGCTAAGGACTGATTGCCAGGAGTGTAAGCCGCTTGGGAGCTTTTCCTGTTCGTCTGGTAGCAGCAATTCGTATGGTTCCTGTTCGTGTATTTGGAGTGCTACCTTATTCCCTTGTATGCCGTTCGGGAGTTTGGAGCATTCACTTGTATGCAGTTCGAGTGTTTGGACCATTCCCTTGTATGCAGTTCGAGTGTTTGGACCATTCCCTTGTATGCAGTTCGAGTGTTTGGAGCATTCCCTTGTATGCCGTTCGGGAGTTTGGAGCATTCACTTGTATTCAGTTCATGAGTTTTGGTGATTCTACAGTAGCTGTGCCTGTCTCTGAAAGGGGGATTATCGTCTAAGCGGTTTTTTCCCCTTTTGTGCAAAACGGTCCGTTACAAGTACTCCCTATGTTCAGGTTTTAGGAATACACTGAACAACGGTGTTCGTGACCAACTCACTCATTAGGCCGGTAGCTTGGTCTATACATCTGTTGTCTGCTGGCATGATAAGGAAGGGTAAAAGGGAAATTTGTGACCAAGTGTGCTGCTTGGTCAAGTGGATGGTGTCTCCATTATGTAGTATTTAGATACCAATCTGTTAGTCAAGACAAGGACATGTTGTGCAGAACTAGTGTGGAATAGTTAATACATTTTAATGTTTTAAAACACTCATATTTGTATTCAGCAAAGTCTCCCGAGTACAATAGTTTCCCTCATTTACACGTTTTATTGTGATGGTAAGTTACAGGGACAATAGAGGGCTTGCCCATTTCAGTTTGCCAGATTGGTTTGTGTGGCCTATGTTGCCTTTGAGACCAGCTCAGGAATGAGAAATACCCCCAGCATGGTATATCATTTGCTTACATAGACAACCCAGAGTCTTCAAAATGGATTATGTCCAGTCTTTTTTAGTAGCCACTTAGTCACAAACCCTGGCCAAAGTTTTTCTGCATTTTTTACACTCAAACAGCACTTTCACTGATGATATCATCATCTTGATGCATTTTAATGTTCTCCCAAATGCAACAATGCCCCCCCCCCCCGCCCCGATGTGTATATATATATATATGTTCAATGTCAGCTAAAATTCATATCTTGTAATACCTTTTTTATTAGACTAACATCATTTGTAATGACAAGCTTTCTGGATAACCTACCTTTCTCAATCTAAAGCATTATATATATATATATATATATATGTATATATAAATATATATATATATATATATATATAAATATATAAATTGTTTTATTTTATTAATAAAGTGGTTTGTTAACTTTTTTTTAACTTAATTTTGAGCATTGGGGCACTGCCTGATATCCCAGGCAGTCCCCCGGCAGGCACTGCTGAACTAATCTTTTCCAGCCACGTGTTCGCGATCCTCTGGCCCAGGAGTGCCGGACTTAAATCAGGCGGACTGTCAGGTAAGTCCCCCCAGGTGTGATCGCTGGTAGGGGAACGTCAGCAGGCAGGTGAGTCCATATCGAAGTAGAATATCTAGATCAGGATTAGGCATCCTTCGGCACTCCACTACTATTTAAAAGACGAGGGGAATTGGGTGTGCTCTCTTACTGTAGCCCATGAGTTGACACACTGTGCACTGAAATTTGCTATTCTATATTCTACTATATGTGTTGAACTGGAATGAGTCTTTCAGGGTCTTACCTGAGTTGGGAGTGTGAAGCGGAGAGATGTTTGCTCATCCTTGCAGATAAACAAAGTCCAAGGTTACCGGGTAAAAAGCCACCTGGTCTGTGAATCTGTGCACAAGGGCTGTGCAGGAAAGGTGCTCTAATACGCAGTACAGACAAGTTCACAAGCAGAAGGATAGTCAAGGGGCAGTCGAATTCATAGGATGCCAGAGGTCAGGATAAACGAGGAGTAGCAGAAGTCAGAGGATGTCAGAGATCAGGATAAATGATGAGAGGAACCAAGGTCAGAAGCCGGGGTCAATCTGCATAACAAGCTCAGGAGACTAGAAAGCAAGAGCAAGAAACGTTAACCAGAATCAAAGAACTGACAATGTTTTCAGGGAGCGGCAATGTTTTATACCAGCAGATGAGTGATCTGCCTCAGGTGAAGCACAGACAATAGCCACAGAAGAAGTCCAGCCCCATACCACTGCAGGCATAGCCAGGTATAACAGGGCTAGAACTCATTCAAAGTTCAGGATCTTCTGTGGCTCAAAGGCAATATAGCAGGCCCAGAACAACAAAGGACCCAGTTCAAATCCCCAGTGGGGCGACCACACCTGGCCATCTGGATAGCACGGTGAGAGCCGTGACAGAGCTTAACTACTCTCCTCAGACTTCTACTGTTATAAAGGATGTTTTGTCCACAAACTTCCAGTAACTAGATAGTATAAATTCTATAGAAAATGATGTGCATGAAAATTTTTAACATTCCAATGGGGTGAGATCTAAGATGCCTAAACCACCATGACTGCATCAGCAACCATGCCATAAAAGAGTTCATTAGGTTATTAAAAAAAATTGTCTATGCTATATAATTTCCAAAGTGTATGTGTATGTATATATTCTACCCTTGGTAAGGTAGCTGAGGATGACAGGGCTAAGATCCTGTGGGACTTCCAGATCCAGACAAGCAAGTACTAGCCAACCAACCTGATATGGTGGTGGTTGACAAGGAACAGAAGACTGCAGTCATGGTGGATGTTGCAATAACCATTGACTAAAACATCAGGAAGAATGGACTTGTATTGACTCCCACGGTGGGTAGTGGCTTCAACAGGTTTCAGATTGAGGTTGATGTTCAGAAGAGTGTAGTTCTAGAAACACCAAACACCAAATATACAGAACTCTCAGACTCCCAGGCCTCTGGTGGTAGGGTGAGAAAATAATTATAAATATATATATATATATATATATATATATTTACACAGTACAAAAGAGACAAAGAATGCACAATGATAGAGTTGCATTATATATATATATATATATATATATATATATATATATATATATTTGTGTTAGGTGCTTAAGATAGTACAGTGTGAAATACCATGAATAAGCGTAGGATGATAAAAGGAGCAAGTCGGTTGTGGAGTGCCGAAACCGACGATGAGGTAGGCCTGAGAAAGAAGAGGGCCCACCCAGGAAAAAGAAATAGAAAGGAAATAAATGTTAAAAGTGGTGTGGTGGGAGGGTCATTCAACGCTGACCTCGAACGGTAAGGAGCCAGGCAAGGGGAGTGCCTTAAGTAGGCTAGGGGTAGAAAACCAGCAGCTCCCACAAATGCAAGCAAATTGCCTTAATACTTGTGTTAGGTGCTTAAGATAGTACAGTGTGAAATACCATGAATAAGCGTAGGATGATAAAAGGAGCAAGTCGGTTGTGGTGTGCCGAAACCGACGATGAGGTAGGCCTGAGAAAGAAGAGGGCAAAAATTAAGTAATCAAATTTATTAACAGACAACCAATACATATACATTTATAAACCAGACATGTTTATGAAAGCATCTCTTAATTCTTGTACTGGGTTCGGTATGTACCGTGAGTAAGCGGATGACTTCCAGCGCCCCAGTGTTTTGATAACATGAGTTGGGATGTTGAAACTGGAGGCTGTGGACGCGGCTCCTATACGAAAGGAGTGTCCTGAGTAATTGTTTGCGTTGAGGCCCAGTTGTGTGAGCAAGGACCTGACGTAGGTCATGAAGGTTGTAGTGGTAAGTACTGCACCTTGTAGTTGTAATAACGGTTGCGAGGGCAGTAAGTGATGGTGCTGTATGTAGGCATCAAGATCCTTGATGGGACACCATCTGTTGTGCGTGGGATAGTACGGAATGTTTACAGGTATGTACTGGCTGCTTTTGGAGTGAGGTAAAGACAGGATGTAATGATCCATATGTTTTGTCAAGTGGAAATAGAGGAGGAATGGAGTGGTTTGGGTCGTGGAGGTCGTAGTGAATTCTCTGGGTCGTAGAAATCCATAGAAAGCGATGTATATTGCTGTTTTGATGATAGAATTCGTATCAGTGTCAAACGGTTTTAGGTCGAGTAGGTTAGTTAATGCTTTGAAGATATGGTTATCTATGGGTAGCCTCTGGGCCAAATGTTTGGGTTCTGATTTTTGAATACCTCTGAGTATGGTCTTAATTTGGTGAGAGGCCATGAAACTGTTGTTATTTGGGTGTAAGATGAGCATGTGGTGTTGAATGCCAGTGAGATAGAGGTTGATGGTGTTGTATGACATTTTGAGTTTAAGGTGGCAAAAGGAAGCAAACCCCAAAAAAGATGTCATAACAAACGGTTGTATGATGTTATGTTCCAGAAGGAATCGTTTGAATAGTGTGAAAGCCCTGCTGTATGTTTTGTTTGTATTGTGTGAAAGTGCCAACTGAGACAATGTCCTGCTATGCTGCATGATGACGTCTAGTCCAGTATGAGTTGTTGAAATGTTGAGTGATGGTGGCTGTGGGTGCTGCTGACGGGAGTGCTTGATGAAACTCCTGAAATTTAAAGCGAGACAAACTGTCAGCAGCTGTGTTATATACACCTGGCACATGGAAACAACATAGGAAGAAATTATGACAAGCTGCCAACCAAGTGAGTTTCCTCAGAAATCTCATGATCGTAAGAGATTTGGAACGACCTTTGTTGATGATGTGACAGGTTGCCTGGTTGTCAGAGTAACAACGCACTGGCGTATTAGCCCATAAATGACCCCACGCTACGGCAGCCGCCACTATGGGGTAGATCTCAAAAAGAGCTGAGGTAGTGGAAAAACCTTCCAAATCCAGAATTGCTGAAGGCCAGCTGCCCCAAAGCCATTCGTTCCCAAAAATTGCTGCAAAACCAGTGGTAGATGCCGCATCTGACCAAATGGTAGGAGATGATTCAGTCAATTGAGGGAGGAGCATACTTTTACCATTCAAAGTGGTTAAAAACCTCTTCCACATGTTTAGATCTGCCGTAGCTTGGGCATCTAAGGACAACCTGTGCGTGTCATGTAGAAAAAGTGGGAAAAGATGCAATAGTTGTGAAATAAAGGAGCGGCCTTGAGGTATGATGCGCATTGCAAAATTTAGTGACCCCAGCAGGGACTGTAGTTCTTTGTGGTTGCAAGTGCTGAGATGTAGGTAGTTGTTTATGTAAGTGAGAATATTTTCTATCTTATCGTATGGTAGGCTTGCTTGCATTGTGGCAGAGTCTAATTGGATACCCAGAAAAGTGATAATAGTGTCTGGCCCTTCTGTTTTCTTTGGGGAGATGGGTACACCTAGTTGCTCAAACAGCTTAGTGGTAGCTTTGAGGCTAGTGGGAGGTGCAGTATTCTCCTCGACCAGTAGGAAATCATCCAAGTAATGTAATACTGTAGGGCATCCGGCTATGTTCAATAGTAACCAGCATAATGCTTCGGCAAATGTGTCGAAAATAGCTGGGCTACTTTTGGACCCAAAAGTTAACCGGGAGAAAAAATAGTAGTTCCTGGACCACTTGATGCCATGCAGGTGCCACAGTGTGGGGTGGATAGGGACTAATTTGAAGGCGTTAGTAATGTCGGTCTTACTGAGCCAGGCTCCAACCCCTGCTTGTATGATAGCTGTAATGGCGAGATCTATGGTGGTGTATTGCAGAGAGAATTCCTCAGAGGGTATGAGGAATTAAGACTGGGGTTGGCCGATGAGTGGGGGGCCGATGAGTGGGGAGCCGATAAGTCAATGATGAGTCTCTGTTTTTGGGAAGATTTCCCTGTGACAATACCAATAGGGTTGGTGCGCCATTCTGTGAATGGAGGAGTTCTAAAAGGCCCCAATACAAAGCCCTCATCCATTTCTTGGGCTATGAGGGTGTCAACCACTGTGGGGTTGTGTTGGGCGGATTGTAGGTTAGGGCATTCCAGAGTTCCAGCTGGTATGTGTAGGATACCTGTGTGGAAGCCTTCTGTTAAACCAGAAATAAGAAAATCTACCAGGTGTCTTGATGGGTGCTGAGACATCAATGCTGTGAATACTGGCATATTAATGGACGTAAGGTAAGGCTTAGAATACATTTTATTTGGACACATGGTCTTAGCATGTGCCCTAAAACATTTTGAACAGACATGCGATAGTCTACATCCACTGTAATTACAAGACCCAACATTGAAATTATTACATATCTGGGACTTGCCCAGAAACTTGATTGGGCGTCCCAATTTGTCTTTGGATAGTTTCCCTGGATCCCCAGAGGAACTAGTTCCTTGTGTGGAGGCATGTCCGTCTGCCGTGTTGGGACAAAATTAGTAGTATGGGCTGTGGAGGAGCAGTATGCACAAGCTGGTGTTCTTAGACCTGCAAAGTGTCTGCAAAATAAGACGGTATCAATCCTTCCCCAGTTGGATCGTGTACTGTACTGGGAGAAGGCTCCAGCCACTTTTGCAGAAAAATGACCTATGGTAGTCATAGAATGCTGAACCACCATATTTGTTGCCCAGGTCTACCAGCTTGTGCATATAGAGATCAAACTCCTCTCTTCTGTTGGGATAAACCGCACAGACAACATCCCTGTAAATACCAAACGCTAGTACAAATTCAGGGATAGTCAGTTTCCTGTTCAGGCGGGCATCCCTAGATCTGACAATAACAGAAACATCATCATAAGCATACGTCTTATGTTCCACAATGTCCTGGGAGGCAATCAACAGGGAAGCCAGGTTGACGTCTTTACCTTCCAGGATATCCTTTTTGATATGCTCAGGTATCATGTGGGCCGGGCTAACTTCCTGGTCATCCAGGGTGCTGGCTGGAGCGACTAATGGCAAGGCTGGTGTTTGTACCGCAGCCGCGGGTGGCCCTGCTAGAGTGAGGGCCGTGGTGACCGACTCAAGTTTCTCCAGCCTGGAGTTGACCTTGCCCATGGATGCCATAAGTGAGGATAACATGGCATGTATGTCCCCTGGGTTGGACTGGCTAGATCCTTCCCCGGCTTCCATGTTATTAGTTGATGTGCGTAGCAGTTTGAAAAGTTCTGCCTTCCTTGCTGTAGCGGGGTTATGCGCGGGATTGTCCAGGATCTAATTGATGCTGGACTAGCTAGCTCTCCTCCTTGTGTGGGAGTGACAGCTCTAGCCGGGGTGCTAGGCAGGGAGAAATCCTCTACCCCTTCCTGAGACATACTATAAATAAAACAATAATTAGTATATAGAACCACCAAATTGTACTGGCAGGCTAGCTAGGCCGGATGGCGAAAGTATTATACTTGTTTGGTGACAGGTGAGGCCCTGCTAATTGCCAAGCGGCTTGAGAGGCTCTATCTATGCGTTGGCGCGAGGGGTTATTGAGGCCACTTGACGTAGTGGCAGGAGTTTTAGGCCTCTCGGTGACTGTACGACAGAAAACAGGGGAAGGGAGTGACAGGTGAGGCCCTCTCTTTGCAACATGCGAGGCGGCTAGCTAACGTGTGGCCCGATGGGTGTTTGCCTCCGAAACGTTTGAGGCGGGGTGTTGGCCTCGCGGGACCACTAACTAATGGCGACAGCCAAGACGGGGTAAATACCTATTGGGAATCCTGTGACCCTATTGCCAGTACTCTAAACTAGGGGGATGAAATGAAATGTATGGTAGAATACCATATGAGCAGGTGTACGTACCTGGTAGTATGATAAATCACAGGAATAAACCGTGTGGAGCAATTATATAAGCTTGACAGCCTAAAAATGGGTAAAAGACAGTAGTATAATGAGTGTGGAGTGTAAAAAGAACCAGACTTATAGTCTGTAGCAGCAGTGTATAAAATTATGTTGATACCATGGGAATAGCTATGAGTGGCTCAGAAATGTTTGCATGCTTGAATAAGACATCTGAGGGAGGCCGTGGCCTATGTACAAACAATCTATGTGTTACGTGATAATGGTGTGTAAAGGAAAACATGAAACGTAGGTTATATACATATGTATATGACTGTGCAGGGGACGTATGATTGGTTGGATCAGTACGTGTGATTCAACCCGAGTATGCATGCAAAAGGATTTAAGCCTTATGTGTCATCGTCATGACAGAGAAATGAGGCCTGTAATGTAGGCTGAGTAAATTGAAATGAAATGGATAGTTATAAAACTCCTGGCGTGGGAGTTCAATGATCTGTACCGAAATGTAACTGGTTTTATAGAAAGGGACATGGATGAGGTCATGGCCTAATTAACACAGCGTTATGTATGATATGTAGCAGAATAACCAAAGGCAGGGATACCCCAAAATGATTTAAAATGATGTAAAGTGATGTATATCTATATGATATGTTTGTATAGAAAAGACGTATCAACCCGAGAATTATTGCTTAAATGAACCTATATCCTTTGTATGTGTTGTATTAATAACCCAGAAGTGAGGCTTGTAACATAGACTGAGTCCATTTGTATAAATGGATAAGTAATGCAGACCCCTGAAGCGTGGGAGTCAAATGGTATACACAGAGAAGTGGACTTGATTTGTGGACGTAATACAATACTGACAATATTTAAAAGTAATCAAAAATAATCTATTTAAGCAAGCAATTCTTTAACCGAACGTTATATACACATGAAATGGTGAATATAATTCATGAAAGGATTATACGTGAACACACAGAAAAGCCGAAAGCAAATGTGAGGGGAACACAGAAGTTAGAATAGTTTAACCGTATGATTTATGCGAACCAAAAGCGTGTATGAGCGTATGTAAAAATTTGCCGAACGGCAAAACAACCGAATGATAATTCGTTTCAATAACATGAAATAGGATATGCGAAATGACTATTGAACGATTTAAATATGTTCAGCCGAATGACCGTACGAATGAAAAGCCTGCGAATGGCTTGAAACATTCGTGTCATAACCAGGGAAAAGCCGTAAAGCGAGGACCCGTGCTGTACCGTATGCCGTGGGAACCAGTCCTGGCGTGACAGGAAGGTCTGACTTACGGTTTAGGAGTCCCTGGGACGCGATCTACGACGGAGAACGGAGTCAGAAGAAGCTGGACGGGCGGAAAGGCCTGAACAGGATTCCTGGACACAGCTTAACGTGGTGAAACCTCCTGGATACTGAAACCAAGATGGCGTCTGAGAGAACCCGGAAGTGGATCCTCATTCAACGCTGACCTCGAACGGTAAGGAGCCAGGCAAGGGGAGTGCCTTAAGTAGGCTAGGGGTAGCAAACCAGCACCTCCCACAAATGCAGGCAAATTGCCTTAATACATATATATATATATATATATATATATATATATAATGCAACTCTATCATTGTGCATTCTTTGTCTCTTTTGTACTGTGTAAATATATATATTACATGATTTAAAAAATTATAATCAGCATTAGGGGTAGAATAGGTTAGAGTCAGGGCGAGCGTTTTATTAAAGTTAGTAAATTATATGCCCCTATCTGTCTCAGAATGGTAGATGTTATGGCCCCATGTAGAAATTGCTATTCATGATTGTTGCCTTTAATTCAGTCACATTCAAGGTAGTGATATGTCTGAAGAGGAGCTGGCAAGACAGAATAACAATGGTTCTCTTTCTTCAGCTCCTCTCCCATCACATCGTTAAAAGAGAGTGATTGAATTAATTGTGGCAGCTGCAAATATGGCTCTGTACTGCTGCAAGATTAGTAAACCTTGCTACGCATTATGCTTTTTAATGAAACATGTGATGTTACCCACTTTGTCGTTTGGGAAAACATGATTTGCTAAAATAACAACAGATCATGTAATTTTATATAAACAAATGTACACATATGCTATGCATGTGCAAATAATAAATGGCCTTTGTTTGTGGATGGATAGATTATAGATGGATGGATGGATGGATTACTAAAAAAACTGTTTTAGAATATATGTGCTTATGAGTTTAAATAACTCACTGTAGTGTTTATGGTGCTAGAAGTACATTGTCCCAGTGTCAAACGATTTACTGCTGAGTGTCTGTGCTTCTGCCAATTGCCTTAAGCAGTAGAAGCTGGATGATGATGCTCTTATGCAATGAATTAGTTAAACGAGTTTCTGTATTGAACATAAGTGACATCCAGCTTTTCCATCCTGCAGAGCATGCAGCTAGTGGTACCCAGGTTAGTGTCAAACTTTGCTAAAATGATGGGACTATGCAAGGACACTCCTGGTATCTGAGCCACTTCAATATGCTGTCATGGTTATGGTGCTTGTAGTGTTACTTTAAGGACCACTATAGTGCCGAGAAGAGCAAATATAGATTTTTCCCGCAAGCTTTCCCGCAAGTCACCCACAAAGTACCCCCCACCCTCAGGGTCCTCCCGCCCGG